CATTTTGCCGGCATAATAGTGCTTTTTTGGCGGCATAATAGTGCCATTTTGCAACATAACAGTTATTTCCATTTTTAGAGCTACTATTGTCCATTTATTAAGTTAAAACTACAAACTTTCAAGCTATTTTAATGTTCTACATGGTTTCCATTACTATTATCGCACTTCACGGGGGTCCCGGAAAAAATTTTTRCGACACAATTATGACTCACCGGGTCCGGGAAAAAAATTTTTACGGCATAATTATAACTCACCGGGGTCCGGGAAAAAAATTTTGCGGCATAATTACGATTACAATAGTTACAGTCGAGCATAATTTGGAGCATAATAGTCCGTTTTGGGGGCAGTGCCAAAAAGCATAATGCTCGATTTTAGGAGCATAATGTGTCAACCCCTACTCTAAAAGTTATCCAAGGAAGTGAATTGGTTCTCCATATTTGTGTTATAATTACGCTTTTGTATTAGAAGTCAGTCAGAGTGTGGTTTAAGAAACATGCTTTGTGGCAAATTCAAAACCTATATATCTGGCACGCTTTTAATGTTACTGTAGTTGTAATTTTGGTCTTATAACCGATTCATTACACGAAAGCAGTTGCAGGAAATGACGTCAGGTGTAAAATGCGTGCCTGAAATTTGCCCCTAGGATGTCCAGTAAGAGCTCACTTGGTCAAGTGTCTATTATGAAGTTTTACCTGTGTACGTTTCACCTGTGCACGAGTCGCACCTGTTGACGAGGTCCCTTCTTTATAAAGAGGGTTTTCACGAGGATCCGCAAGCAGTGAAATTTTTGTCCCGAAGTTAATTAGATTTATTTTTTGATACTAATTGTCAATGACAGATCGGTCAAGGAATAGTAGGGCATAGTATAAAACCAGCACTGGACCTTAGACTGGACTCTGGACTCTGGACTCTGGATTCTGGATTAAATTAAAGAAAAGAAAAAAAAAACACGAAAAAACAAAAATAAAAAATAAAAAAAATTAAAATAGACAAGATAAATATATATAGTAATATTTGCCAGACTAAAGAGGAAAGAGACTGGAACTGAGCATGTTGCAATAGCAACGTCAAAATTTGGTATATTTCTTGAGGTGTACCCCGCTTGCCAGGATTCAATTCATATTGAGTCAAACATTTTTTTTTTATATTCCCGGGTTATACTGTATTTCCGTTAAATTGTTCATTATTCTTGAGAGCACTTTGAAGCTGTAGGATCTCCGTCTCTTTTAAAACTGATAGAGTACAATGTATGTGCATTTTTTCTTTAAAGTTTTAGATGTTTTATTCACGAGAAAGAGCCAATTTCTAGAGAACATGCGGTACTTTCCATTGAGAAAGCATGTCGCCTGATAAAAAGATAAAATCCACAACCAGGTATAATGTTCTCTCAGCAGCCTCAGTACCGCTTGTGCTTGGTTTACGAGATTAGTGGTTGTACTATTCTTTTTTCGCAGAATCCATATCTATACCAAATGTATACCAAACGAACAACGGAGAAACGAAAGTAAAGACACGCTTTAGGGTGCTAATAATAATAATAATAATAATAATAATAATAATAATAATAATAATAATAATAATAAAAACAGACGCGTTGTATGGCGTTGTTCTTTTTGTGATACAGTCGAACATTCGGTTGCGACCACCTACTGTGAGCGACCACCTCTGCTCAGCGTCCAGTTTTCCAAAATACGAAAAGTTTCCGCGTCAAATCACTATGTTTGAAACCTCTTGTATGCAACTACCTCTCTTAAACGACCTCGACCACTTTTTAGAGCTAAAAGTTTGAAATCTGGTTTTATTTTTTAACTTCTCGTAAGTGATCACTTGACAGATAAGAGAGCGGAAATGGGATAATTAGGTGTTGTAGCATTATCACATTCCTAGGTAGTACAAGAGGTAGAAATTTCTCAACGGAAAGTACCGGATGTTTTCTAGAAATTGACTCTTTCTCGTGAATAAAACATCTAAAACTTTAAAGAAAAAATGCACATACATTGTACTCTATCAGTTTTAAAAGAGACTGAGATCCTACAGCTTCAAAGTGCTCTCAAGAATAATCAACAATTTAACGGAAGTACAGTATAACCCGGGAATATAAAAAAAAAATGTTTGACTCAATATGAATTGAATCCTGGCAAGCGGGGTACACCTCAAGAAATATACCAAATTTTGACGTTGCTATGGCAACATGCTCAGTTCCAGTCTCTTTCCTCTTTAGTCCGGCAAATATTACTATGTATATTTATCTTATCTATTTTTATTTTCATTTTTGTTATTTTTTAGTTTTCTTTTATCTTTTTTTTTTCTTTTCTTTAATTTAATCCAGAATCCAGAGTCCAGAGTCCAAGGTCCAGTCCAGGGTCCAGTCCAGGGTCCAGTCCAGGGTCCAGTCCCGGTTTTATACTATGCCGGTCACACACATATTTTTTATTTTATCTGACTTTTATCACTTGATGGTACCACTTAAATTTTAACTTCACGACTTGAAACAAGAGGTGGGATAAGCTCGAAATTTATAACGTCAGTCTTATAATTTCGACAGAATTTGAGTATATTGGTGTTCCGTTCGTGGTAAATATATATAGTTGACGAAGACTTGTGTAGAATTGCTGAAATTTTTACCGATAGCTGACTAATATAATAATCGCCGAAAAATTTCACTGATAGCCGAGATTCCAGCGCCCCTATCCAGTCTGTCTTCTAGTAGAATGAGATTTTATAATGGAGATCACGTTTTCTGTGTTTGACAAAGGGTGCTTTTTACTTTTGCTGCTTTTTCGTTAATTTCCTGGCAAACGCCGAAGAAAATTTCATGATTAGAATCATTTCTGAACTGCTGGGAAGTCGCACTTTAATGTCTTATTTATCATCTTTCTTTCCTTGTCGCTATTTTGGTTGTGTTCTCAATTCCTAAGCTCTTTTTCCCCAGTTTAGTTGTCGTCTTTTTTCAGTCTTTCCTTCTAATCATACTAGCTAAATATATAAGAAATAGATAAGACAAAAAGCCAACTGGCATGTTTTTAATGCCGGGAATGCATTTTATCGTAATTTTATTGTATTTTATTGTAATTTTAATTAATTGAAAGTAGTGTGGCATGGGGAGTCAACTTTAGTAAATGGAGTAATATTTTTATGTGTATGGATTAGTTTTTTGTGTGTTCAGAATAAAAGCTGAAAAACTAGCCTTTCTCTGCTTCGTTAACAAATGTACTACTTAGTGGCCCATGTAAACTAGTGTGCAAGTTATACAAATAAGTTTACATTGGAAGAGGTGAAGTCAACAACACCATTAAAAAAAAAAAAAACGCTTCTAAGCAAAAAGCATTAAAGTAATTTTATGATCATTAGATCCAAGCTTCAAACAGTTACAGAACGGTACGAACA